GGTAAAGTTGGGATTTTGCAAGGGGCTCAGAGAGAGAGTGTGTGGACAGGGGAAGAATAATTGTAAGCCAATATCAACATCATAAAACGCAGAAAATGTAGTTGGCCTAGCTCCCCTTCCTGTAGATTTCAAAGAAGTAGATGAGAAAGGTGGAAGGATGTGGTGGAGTTGAGGCAAACAAGAGCGAAATTGTAGCCATCCCTGGGGATCTGCAGGAGACTTGGTTGCAGGACCCCTGAGGTCAACAAACACGATGCCCAAGTCCCTTTTATAAAATCATATCGCATATCCCACACATTCTTCCATGTACCCTAAGCCATCTCTAGATTACTTCTAAAACCCAACACTATGTAAATAGTTTTTCTGCTGTATTGTTTAGGGAATAATGACGAGAAAACAGTCTGTATCTGCTCAGTGCAGACGCAAGTTTTTAAAAACCATTTTTTTGCCAGGGATTTAGCTCAGTGGTTTCACCACCTGCCTCGCAAGTACAAGGTCCTGAGTTTGATCCCTAGGGTTGAAAGTACAATGCAGACCCTCTGGATACGGAGGACTGAGTGTACAGCCACATCCGAGGAGTCCCTTAACAGCATTGTGCGTTTGAACGAGGCAGGAGAGCTGTCATTAACTCCATTTTACGATGAGAAGTGCAAAACAAAACAGATTAAGCGGCCTGCTCAAGCTGATTTGTGGCAAAATCTGGAGGTTTCTTCTGAAGTTCAAGTTCAGGGCTCTTTTCTCAGGCTTGTCCTTGGTATGAATGTGAATGGTGCTGTGAGTCTTTGGCCCACCCTTCCTAGTGTACCCAGGAAGTAATAGCTCTAACAGTGAAAACCAGCACTACTTGCATTTTAGGCACCAAAGGCCTAGAACTTGGGGAAGAAAAGAACTGCAGTTCAAAACAACTGGGCTTTCCACCAATAGCGTGGATCACTGACCCTCCCACTGTTCTCAGCAGCTGTGAATGACGAATTATGGGTTATATGGCAGAGTAGCTTTGGGTTCAGCTTGCCAATGAAAACCCAGAGGTGCCATATGGTGGCAGTAAATTGAGTGCAAGGTAGTGTTATTGACAGTAATCAGTGCACAGCACAAGAGACGAAGGTCCCTGGTGCTTCTCTTACTGGAGCACACTGGCTGAGCAGCACAAAGTTTCGGATTCCTGGGCTCCATCACCTGGGTCTGCCCAGAATCGATCAAGATAAGAGGCCGTGATTAACACCAGCTTGACAGCCAGCTGCTAAAGACAGAGTGACCCCACCTGGGCCTGAGGTTCTGAGATCCTTACGGGCCTGGACAGGCATTTGTATCTCGCAACATCTCTCCTAAGAGGCCAGATGAAACACAAGATGAGACTCTAGAAGGTGAGGCCCATCCTTACAGCAAGCAGACACATTTCAGTCCCACAGTCTCGCAGACGTCACGATCACAGCCAGGACTCAGCCTAAAGGGAGTGTCGGAGCATGGCCTCCCAGCAGGCTGTCTGCATTTGCGTTTGGACTCTGTTCATGACAGGCATGCTGTGAGCCTCAGGGTCATCATCTGAAACACAGGAATCATCACACACAGCCCCACCACGAAGGCTTACTGTCAGGATCTAATGAGTTGATGCCCGGAGAGCCCATCAGAAGAGAAGCTGGCAGAGATAAGCCCTGACTGCTGTGTATGTGGTCTGAGCCACCTAGATCGTGCGAAGCAAGGCGCTCGCCAGTCTCTCCCAGCTCTCGACTCAACCTCAAGTGCCTCTCCAAATGTGGTCCACCAGCAGGGACCATCAGGGCTACCTGGACACTTGTGAGAGATGCAGATACTCGGGTCCGGTCCTACATTTGCTAGAGCAGTATCTCGGGCTGGGCCTAAACTCCAGTGACTTAGAACCCTCCTCAGGTGCTTTGTACCGTTGGACGAGCTTTCCCATAGAATCTTCTCTGCTGAGGAACGAAGCCCTGCGTCCACTCTCAGGAAGCTCAGTGACAGAGCTGCCCTGTTACTGCTGCCCGTGGGCATGGCGTGTCCTCGTTTGCTTCGGCATGTGAACTGGCTGGAAGCAGGGCCTTTCATGGGGAAATTGTTTAGGACCTCTACACAATTAGCTCAGCTAATTTAAAAAATGTGACACTCAGAATGAGGGAAGAGTCCTGGCTGGGCAATTCTAGCAACATGAATTTAGCTAAATTTAAGGTCCAGTTTTGTTCTTTTTTTCCCAGTACCAGGACTTGAACTCAGGACCTTGAGCTTAGAAGGCATGCACAGCAGCACTGAGTGAAATCCCCAGCTAGCCCCAGTCTTTATATAATTTTTGATTTGCAATCCAGTTTCCACCTCCATCCCACATTTGCAGTCCGAGTAAGTCTGGGAGCTGGAGGTTGCGGTGTCGCAATTCAGGACCTGAGATGATGACCTCCACTCTCTTCTTTTTAATTTGAATTCAGCCAAAGCCCATAAAGGAAACTCAGAGAGCTCATTCTTTGAGCTAGTCTAAGATACAATGAAAATCCATCAGTAGTGTCTGCTGTTTTCTCAAAATTCAAGGCACCGCAGTAAGGACTGCAGACATCTAAAGAGGAGAGGAGAGACCAGTGGCCACCTTCACCATCCCTTCCACATCAGTATTCACTGGTCTGTGTCCAGGATGCCTCCCCTTATGATCAACCAACACAGATGAAAAGTGCAACACTTCTGAAAGGGACTCCTTGGATTTTCTGCTGGTGTATTCTTTTTTAGTGATGTTTTCACCACCACAGAGACAATTCCTTTTCTAGCTTTCTTCCTGTGCTGAAAACTTTGAAGTGTTAAGCCCTCCGATGAATTACGGCATCGCTGGGATCCACTTCTTCGAATCATGACAGGGGCACCGTACAGCCCAAGTTCTTCTCATCCCGAGGCTTCGAGCTTCAGCAGCCCCTGGCTGTACCCCGGGTGGACCAGCCACACCCCTCTCAGTCCCTGCACCTTCACTGCATGGGCAGGCTTTTCTTCTGTTGCTTATGCCATTAGGAAATCTACCCCACCTTCATTTTGTTTCTTTTATTAAATCCACGTATCTCTTGCCAGCCTCTGAGCTGTATGCCCACTCTGCCTTGTACACTTCATGAAGTGAATTCTCCATCTTCCTTTTCATGCCAGTAGCTCAAGGTGCCATTTTTGCGGCTCTACTTGCCTTTTCCCACTTTAATATCATCAGCCATCCCGTCCTCCCCATGTCCTCAATAATGCACTCCACCCACCTGACATTTTCTTCCTCCTTTCCTTCCATTTGTCCTCATTTCTCATTTCATAACTTGGAGCATTCACAAGTCCCCCCTCTATCCTTGTATGTACTAGTACTGCTGTATGCACAATTCTTTTTTTGGTACCAGGGATCCAACTCAGGACCTTCCACTTTCGAGGCAGGCAGCAGAAGCACTGAGCTAAATCCCTGGCCTCACAATTCACACACACACACACACACACACACACACACACACACATATTTCACATATAATAATATATATTTCACATATAATATATAATAACATATATAATAACATATGTTACTATATATGTTATACATATATGTATGTGTGTGTGTGTGTGTGTGTGTGTGTATTGCTTTGCAAACATTCCCAAGCAGTTTCTGTATGTAGGTGGTTATCTAGGGTTTTACAACTAAAGACCAGAGGCTGAGATTTTTTCCTCTTTTGCTAATGCTACAGGTTGGGGATCAGCCCGGAGTGCTGAGGTTGGGAGAATGTTCAGTGTGAAGTGGGTGCTTTATTACATGTTGGCCACAAAAAGTGGCTTGATCCCCTTAAGACAACCAGAAGAGAGGAGAGGGAGAGAGGGAGGGAGGGAGAGAGAATGAGAGAGAGCATATGAGAGAGAGAGAGAGAGAGAGAAGAGGGAGAGGAGCTAGGCGCACACCTTGAGAGCATATTTGGGGAACTCTTGAGAGACCCACTTAGAAACCTTCCTGCTGGCCTCATACGCATGATGTGAACGGAAAAAGTTAATATATGAAGAAATTGGCTTAACTATGGCCTTTTGGATTGTTGCACACTCCTCTTCTGCTCTGAATGCCTGGCTGGTTTGCATTACGATTTCCTTCCGTGCTGGAAAGCATAGACTTTCTCCCTTTCTTTGGAAGGAGTGAGACCTGTTGGAAATCTGAAGCTCCAGGATTCAAATGCGATGGCTTGGCTAGAGTGCTCTGCAGTGCATTTCTTGACAAGTCCTGAAAAGACTATTGAATTCTGGCCTGTGCTTTTCTGCAGGGTTTGGATGTGTTTCAGATGCAGTGTTTGGCTAGAGAAGGTAATCAAAATAGACTTTTTTTTTCCTTCCTTAGCAATCTTATGTTACCTTTTCATCCTCATAGTTAAAGTGAAATATTTTACAACCATGCAGACATTTTCAGTGCAACAGAATCATAAGTCATTTTCAGCTTATCTCACAAAATTACATGTAAATTGCTCAAAATATAACCTGGTGATCCTGACCTGATAGAAAATTTGGCAGACATTTGGTTCTCTTGCTAGGGGGTCTTTTTAAAAATTAAATGCAGGAACATTTATCTAATATCCCCCCACACTTTAAATGATGAAAATGCTGCATCTAATCTCTGCACTGTCACTTGCATTCTCGCTGTGGTGGGCTGGGGGTTTTGATACTCTGCATAACAGGCTCTTGTTCTCTGTAATCTTCAAAGAGCTCCTGGCCTTTAGATCTGCTCCATATCTAAAATTCTAGCTTTAATTATCAGATTCGCCTGCTTCTTTTTTTCTTTGTAATTAAGGAGGGGAGAAGCTGAAATGTGTTCGTTATTCCACAAAATACTTGAGAGAGTAGGATCCAAAACGTTTCATTTTGTTCTGGAAATGAGAGCTCATCAAATTATACACTCCTTCAAGTCAAGGGAGGGAAATTAATAAATCAGGCGAACAGAGACATTGAGTGACACAATATAAATGGGCTTTCGGGCCATGCACTTTGCTAAACAAGGCTGGAATTGTGCCTTTCAGGGTCCCTGCAAGTCATGAACAAAACGAGGAAGATTATGGAGCATGGAGGGGCCACCTTCACCAACGCCTTTGTGACCACACCCATGTGCTGCCCGTCCCGCTCATCCATGCTCACCGGAAAGTACGTGCACAACCACAATGTCTACACAAACAACGAGAACTGCTCTTCACCCTCGTGGCAAGCAATGCATGAACCTCGGACCTTTGCTGTGTATCTTAACAACACTGGCTACAGAACAGGTAGAGTGCGGCATTCCTAGGCCATGAACCTCAGTGCTTTGTCTTAGGCAGGAGAAAACACACTGTGTAGTGTAGTCTATGCGATGCCCTGGTAAGTCTCTAAACCAAAGTGGTCTCGTTTCTCTGTCAGAAGCCTCTCCGTCAGGGCCGTATTCTTGAGCTGTAATCTGTTGCTATAACGGAATTCCTAATTTGTTTAGCTCACCAGTCTGCAAGGCAGGAAGCCCAGGAGTGTGGAGGCAGCTTCTCATGGGGGTTTTGGTACTGTCGTAGGCTGGCACATGGTGGAAAAGCGAGGAAAAGCCTGCAGATGAGACAGAGCGCAAGGGCTCCCTTGCTTTGTGACAGCCTGCTCTCGAGGTAACTAATCCACCCCTTTAAGAAAGGAGTGAATCCGCTCTAAGGACCAATCACCTTTTTAAGACCCGAGGCCCAGCCGCATCATGATGACAGTCATTTTCAAAATGAATTTCAGAGGAAGCAAAAACTATATTGAAGCCATACCACTTACTTTTTATTCTGAAAAACATCCCAGTGACAGATCCCTTAGAAAAGTCAGGATTCTCAGTGGACTCACCAGGGAACCCAGCAGGTGGAATTTTCCAGGATGACCCAAACATAGAGGTGTTTTTTTTTTTCTTTTTCCTCTTACCTGTACCTCTCGAGTCCCAAGGGATCATGACATACCCTAAGGCTTTTCTTAGGTGCTAGTGAATTCCTGCTATTTCAAATGAGAAATAATTCCATTTTCAAGCTGCTTAGCACCTATCCCAGGATCCTAAGCACAGCAGATGATCAAAATTACTTATGACTTATTGAATGAATAAGCAGATACACCAATGATATATGTCTTATTGATTCATTTACTTATTCATGCATAATTACTAAAACTGGAGAGTCATTTTAGCTTGTCATTATTTTTTAGGTCTCAAATGTTCACCTCCATCTTCTAGGAAAGGAAATCATCCCAATTGCCACACCCGGTACCAATGTTTAACTTACACAGGGCAAGATGATGTTTGTGGTTAGAAGGTCTTTTGAAACTGGGGACCTCTGTCAAGAGGGATTGTGAACATCAAGCTGATCTCAGTGAGAAAGATGTACAAGATTTGTGTGACACCGTCCTGGCCCTCATTCACCCCGGGCCGGCGGCTGTCCTGGGGTTTTCAGAGTGTATTTTCTTGAAAGGAAACAAGAATATAGATGGAGGGAATTCCGTGAAAAATAGGGTTTCTAGTGTTTTTTTGTCCAGAACCACCTAGACTTATTCATAAAAATTAAAGATCTCATCTTGAAAGCTTATTGGAAATGATTTTCAGGCCTAAAGATTCTCTATTCTAAAGGTTTAAAAGTAAAGGACTTCAAATAAATATTGTCATAAATCTGTTTTAAAAATTAAATTAATCTCTCCCACTGGACCCAGAAATATATGGCCATTTGCTTTTTTTGCAGAGCACCCCGTGGCCACTTAATACTTGTTATTTATAGATGAAAATATGGATTGTGTATATGATAGCATCACTCACAGGCATCACAAGATCTCTACTCGCAATAGTAGCTTCTCCTTAGATCTCAGGGTATTTGCTTCTGCTTAGGAAAGAAACTAGGTTACAGGGAAGTTACAGAGAACCATAGTGTTTTTTCTCACATTAGTGATTTAAATTTATAGCACCTTTCATCTGAAAACACTAAAGCAATTTGCAAATCCATCATACATCCCTGTAGGGTTCACAGTCAGCAAATGTACTTGGCTGCGTTTTATAACTGAAGTGGGGGTTTCAAATACTATGTAACCAGCTCAGAAGCAGAAGTGGTCCCCTAATGCCTGGTTCCTGATTTTAACCACTAAATTGTGTGCTTATGGGAAGTGTGGTATGAAAACAGTGCCTTCAGCTCCCAGGCTCCCTAAAGTGTAATTCCTAGAGCAGACCCAGAGCTAAGGGCTGGGCCTCTCTTCCTGCCAGAGTAACATGGACAATGTTTGTTATAATAAAGATGAGCGGGGGCAGGGCAAGGTAGTGCCTTCCTATAATCCCAGCACTTGGGAAGCTGAGGCAGGAGGATTGCCATGAATTTCAGGCCAGCCTGGGCTACATAGTGAGTTTAAGATCAGCCTGCACTACATAGAGATACCCTGTCTCAAAAAGAAAAAAAAAAGGACAGATGCGAGGAGAGGCAGGGCCATGCCAGGACTTAGTATAATAGGGTGTGCTAAGTTGTTTCAGCTTGAACTCAAGTGAAAAAGGAGACAGTTACTCTGGTTTCTTACGTACACTGTACCAAGCATTTTACTGAATTAATCTGTTAGGCTTGCTTTGCTTTGGTTTGTTTTGTGCAGTACTGGTGATTGAACTCAGGGTCTTCACATGCAGATACATCTCCAGGGCTTTTTATTTTTTATTTTGAGAAAGGATCTCTCTAGGTTGCTAAAAGTTATCCAGGCTGGACTCAAACTTACAAAGTGCCTCAGCCTCCAGGAGTGCTGGGATCACGGGCACGCAGCCCCATGCTCAGATTCACCTAGTTCTTCTAGCAAGCTTGCAGCGAGGGATTCACCCCTGTCATCAATGCGTAAACCAACACTCGGGAAGGCTGACTGTCTAAGGTCACCAGCCTGTCAGTGGTGAAATAAACCTAGCACTTCTGACTCCTGTCTTTCCCCGTCCTCGTTTTCTGTTTTTCTCTGTTGTTCTGTCCTGCCATTTTCCAATATGCCTTACAGAGTCCAGAAAGCATGATAGGATACAGAACAATAAGGATTTGGCAGAAACAAAGGCTAAACTAGTTAAAGTCGAGGCAAATATAGGTGCACGAACTACATGCCATGGAGTGGTAGGGAAAGGTTGCATGTTTAGGAATAAGCTTCTTGCTGGCAAAGGCGAAAAAAGAAATCCACTATACATTGCAGAGTTTACTGGGTCACCAAGATAAAAACAAATCGGTTGCTCTAAGAAGCACCACATATTCTGTTACATGTTTCAGTGTTACTATGCTGTATACAGTGTGCACACATAGCACGATGGCTCAATTCCCTTATTTTTAGAGGAACAAAAATACAAGGTTACGGTGACTTGCTCAAGTGGCAGTGATATTAACATGGGAAGAGCCTGCACGAAGATCTAGGTCTCCAGCTTCTCTCCACTGTGCTGCCCTAAAGGTTAGGCCAGGATGAAACCCACACTGGAAGGCTTTCCTGGTGGCATCTGTGAAGAGAGGCAAGCCCGCTTTGCCTGGGTGTTTCCTCTGTGGGGAGCGGGTTTGCTCCTGGAGAATGAAGGCTGGTTTTTCCAAAGATTGATACACTCAGAAGGATTAAACGTTGGAAGAGTAAAATAACAGCAATAAAGACCTGTATCATTTAAATTTATCTTTGACAAGGAAACACCAAAGCGTCTCAGACAATTAGGAAATAAAGATGTCTTTGTGAAAATTACTAATGACATGGCCATGGATAGCAATCCATGTGAAAATAAACACATGAGAGCACAAGAATGACAGGCATTGCACCCACTAACTGTGATTGTCAGTTTGCCTGGACTAAGAGACTCCTGGACTGGCGATTGGGTCGTTGGTGGATTGATCCACCATGTTCACTCTGAGTGTGCTGCTAGGAAGTGAGATGCTGTGAAAGGTGGATCACTGAGGACAGGCCTTTGGAGGGCGTACCTGTCACTGGAACTCCTCCTCTGTGCTGTGTTCACTACCACCCTGAACGAAGCGGCTTTGTCCCGTCATGCCCTCCCATTGAGATGTTCCTGCCCGGAGCCGGCCAACCGTGCCCTGAACCCTCTGAAACCATGAGCCAAATTAAACCTCTCCTTTAAGGCGTGCGTGTCCGATATATGCTCCCTGTGATGATAAAGCTGACTAATATGGGCATGTTAGGAAATTATAAGAATTGGTGAGTAGATAGTAAGCAAAATAATCATTTATGAGGCACTGAACTAGTGGAGGAAAATAACAAAGTATAAATGTTATACTGCTCTCCTAATAATGCATCTATTATTTGGAATATTCAGCTGCAAACCTAAGAAAAATAATGAATGAAACTAAAATATGTATGGTACGTGAATATCCATCTAGACAAAAGCACAAAGCAGCAATAAGTTTTATGACGAACAGCTCAGAGAAGACGAATTACCAAGAGGCTTATTTTGGGAGGCATCCAGAATACATGGATTTAAATGAATTGAATCGATCCAATATTTACCATTACATGACATGATTTTTCTTTTTAACAACTTAGGCATATTTTTAGGCTGGTTGTAGCCTAAATTTTTCTGACTTTACTCATGGAAAATGTGAGTCTACAACAGCTTAAATGTTCAAGAAGGAAAAAACAGTAATGTGTCTGTTGCACTCTGTTCTGACAAGTGAAGTGGGAATGACACGGGATTACCTATCATCAGAATGAATGTTCTGCCTGAATCTGCTAAAAAATACTAATTTATATTTCTTATGAGGGTGTAGACATTAGTATAAAATAGCATAAAACTTTAAAGTAGAAAAGACCATCCATAGTTGAGGCAGCATGGAGCACAAGGAAAAAACACCAAGGTGGGGGTGAAGGAGTCAGAGTCATGCCCTGCACGCCCCTTCAGTTGTTTTGCCAACTTGGGCCAGTTTTTCAACCTATATAATGCAGAGATTGACCTGTGCAAGATTACACTGCAACTTTATTATACTCACTGGAATTATTATATAGATGAAGTTAAAAATTATACTGTTCAAATTGCAATTATAATGCACAGTACACATATGAAATTTAATTGCATATGAATTAAATTTTAGTCACACCAATTCTTTTATCATGAATGGGAGAGAGATCTTCACTAAATCTTGGTGTTTTGTTTTGTTTTTGTTTTTTTAGACAAAGCCTTGCTATGCCACCCAGGTTAGTTGAACCCCCATGCTCAAGCAATCCTGTAAATCAACCTCCCAAGTATCTGGGACCTCAGACAGACCTCAGACATGTGCCATCCTGTCTAGCTCTGCACTAAATCTTTTTATTAAAAATTCTTTTGGCCGGGCATGGTGGCGCATGCCTACAATCCTAGCACTCGGGAGGCTGAGGCAGGAGCATCGCTGTGAGTTCGAGACCAGCCTGGGCTACATAGTGAGTTCCAGGTCAGCCTCAACTACATAGTGAGACCCTGTCTCAAAAAACAGAACAAAAAAAAAATTATTTTGTAACATATCAACTTAATCTATTTTCCAATTTCATCTCTTTAGACATAACAAAATGTATTTACTTTAGTTATAACAATCATATTGATTTATTCTTTAGTATTGGGATCTGTTTAATTATACAGTTCACTTAAAGTAAGACAGTGTTCTTATTTTTATGGACTATGCATTATAGATTTTTTATAGGTACATAAACATGAAATACACCACAAATTTATCAAACCACAATGTGTTTAAAACTACCCTTGACATAGGGGTGTAATAAAGTAAAATCCTGGACTTTATCAGACTTATAACCCAGTTTGGGAAACCAAATTCTTGTATTAAACCAAACTAATAATAATTTTAACTTGGTTCAAAATCATGTATATTTTCTGCTGCCTGCCTCCCAAGGGTAAGGACCAGAGTTCAATCCCCCGTACCCCCCAAAAACATTATGTATATTTATAGTTACTACTGTGAAATGTTGTCACCAAATCTATCAATTACATGGAGTAAGATTACAAATAATATATCATTTGATGTATGAAATAAAATTTGACTTCTCTTCACCATCAGATATTTTTATAATTACTGACTTAAAAATAAATGCCTTTGCTTCAAACAGTTCAAGGATATTTTTCCAAGGATCGTGTCATGGGTAGCCTTGGAAAGAAGAGGCAGGGACGACAACCAGCAGTAATTACAATCATGTCTTCCTTATCTGCCTCCCTGTCACCCAGTCTCCTGCCACCTTCTCAAACAGCTGTGAAGGGAAGTGCTCAGCGGTGTCCAGAAGACGAGATGGCATAGAGAAGGTCGGGGAAATGACAGGTCAGATAGTGGCAGCCGAGGGGAATTCTCAAAGCTGGAGTATAGAAACCTTTCAAACTGTCCATAACCAGTACGTAGCTGTAACGGCAATCTGGAAAAGAAAAGAAAATTCACCTTAGGGAGGGAGAAGGAGATTTAATGCATCTGGAGGAAAAATAATTAGGAGCCCAGATAATCAATTGCAGAGAACTGCCAGGAAATGTAATATCCAAAGAGGCCAGAGGTGATTACAAATGAACCTCAATGTCACAAGGTGAGAAAAAAGGCTACAGTGAGTGGGGCTGACAGCCCTGGGTGCTGATCACCACGCTAGGGCCTCGTCTCTCTCTGGAACGAGTGTGATGGGTGAGGACACATCTGGAATCCTGAGTACTTTTTTCACGCTCCATTAGCACAAAGACATCGAAAACCTGGAGAGACTTCTGATACCATAGCAAGGTCTATGAAGAGACTTGAAGGAGTCCTTCATAAGGAAAGGATCAAGCAGAGGGTAATAGTCACGGCAATGGGCAGAAAACAGGGCAAAATAACCTGAAAAGCAAAACAATGAGGAAAGGGTAAGACAGACTTGATGTGACTGCTTTAAGGGGGAAAAACACTAAAAGTATCAGGAACATTTTAAAAACTGACTAAGGAGGAAGATGTAAGTCAAATGGGGGATCTGTTTCCATAAAGTAAGTGACATTGAGGAGCCAAAAAAGCATGACATCTCTCAAGGGATGTTTCCAAATGCACAACGAAAACTCTAGAGCAAGATTTCCTTGTGCTGCAGGATGGTCAACTATTTTAAAATCAGGAGGCAGAGATAGGAAGAATAATGACAGTGGTGACTCTCATAATAATAAGAGTAGCAGAATTTGAGGAGCCCTCGTTGTGTGCCTACCAGACTCTGTCTTAAGTGCTTTACCTACAGATTAACTCATGTGTCCTCGTGGCAGTCCCACCGCTAATGAGTTCTCATCAGAGAATGGAAGAGAGGAAGCGGGAGAGCTGGCAAGTAGCAGGGCCGAGATTTGAACCCAGGCAGGCTGGCCCTAGGATTCATATTCTAAACCACTATGCTCTCTCACTCTTTGGAAACAGGAGGACAGAAAAGGCGAGCAAACCTGTGGGGATGGGGAAAAGGCCAAACAGGGCCAGCCCGGGGTGATTCAGCACAAGTCCCCTGGACCCCATCCCCTTCACTAACCACTGGTGGGGTGCGGCCCTGGTCCGCTGCCTGGGACGCCAAGTCGCGTTGAATTTTGTCAGAACAGGAAAATCATCCTGTGGTTCCGTGTGAAAAGGTCAAGTAGCCTCTGGAGATAAGCGCTCCTCTTGGACATGGTGCAGGGAGAATCCTGAGCATCTGATGCGAAGCCCCTCGGGCAATCTGTCCTGTCCCCATGAAACTTCTGGGGAGCAGGCAGGATCCTCCAGCACTGGGGCCCGGCGGGCTGACGGCTCCATTAGGTCACTCACTCACTCACACAGTCATCCAGTGCACATTCAACACGTAGATAAACACGGCCGAGTTTATCACTGGATGTGTTAAAGATTCAAATGTGTGTGCTTTAAGACTGATGCCAATAAAGTCCTTTGATTCTGGGACCCCTTTTGTCATTCAAAGCCGGTCTTCCCAGTACTGCTACCATTTGCCACGAGTGTATGTGGAAGCGCCTGTAAGACCTGCTTCATGGAGCTGGCAGGGGCTTCGGTATGGAGGACATCAGGCTGGCCACTGGGCAGGGTCTCTCCCAAAACAGAAGGTCCCAGCCTTATAAAAATCAGAAATACAGAGTTTACCTATATGTGCATATGTACGTGTCAGAGTGCGTGTGTGTGCGCGTGTGTGTGCGGACAGATACCTGTATCTACATCTCTATATGCATAATAAAATGTTCAGGTTAAATACAGTCAACAAACACTAAGGTTTACCTAGAATAGTGATTTTTTATACCTGTTTTCTTAGTGTAACCATGAAAATTACAAATCGCACCCTCTTTCTTTCTCCAAACTGTTCCATTAATACATGTTTGCCACCCTTCTGATATATAGAAGGTATTGGACTTCAATATGCAACTTGTTTTGTTTTGGAACTCTCACCTTCCTTTCTTTCTCCTCCCCGCTTTCCTACTGTCGTCTCCAGCAAAGGATCATGTTTTCAGTCTTTCTCTCAGAAGGATCGGGCAGCCTGCTGCCCAGTGGCCATTCTGAGCGACATGCCAGCTACCAATATGAAGCCCTTCCAGAGGCCTCTTCAATGAACAGCGGTGTCTTTGTGGCACAGAAATGTCTATAGTCATTCTATGAAATTGAGTAATCCGTGTAGTAACTCTGTTACCAGTATTAGTAATAATAGATATATGTCCACAAAATATATATAAACATAAATAGCCATAACATAAAAAGGCAAAATAACATGAAAACCCTGACCATATCCATAAAAATGGATTTTACCACCATCCCCTGGTTTGGAAAACCTATCATCTTTGTATATGTGAAACCCAAGATGAGATTTTCAGTAGTGTTTTTATAATTCACAACTCTCAAGCAGTAAGTTAGGAAATTGATTTTGCCACAAAAACTAAACTTACAGTTTTTTAGTACTTTCCAAACAGTACCACTCCAGATCTCACACTGGCTACTTCTCTGTTACAATCACTTAACGAAAGAACATATTCTGGTTTTGCTCCAGGAGGATCATAAGAAATAGATCCCCCACAGTGTTATAATAATTATGGTGATTTTATTGAACCATAATCCATGTACTTCGGTGCTACTTATATTTATTCAGAAGGAAAATGCGTGTATGTCACTTTGCCAAAGGACTGCAGAAATTTTGGCATTGCTGCTGCCTAGATTAGCTTTCACTTCACCGTCTCTTTTTCAAGTCATAATTTCATATTTATGCATTTATTTGTGATTAATCATTTCACATGAGAAAATAACCGCTTTTTTTTTCCATTGCAGCCTTTTTTGGAAAATACCTCAATGAATATAATGGCAGCTATATCCCTCCTGGGTGGCGAGAATGGCTTGGATTAATCAAGAATTCTCGTTTCTATAATTACACTGTTTGTCGCAATGGCATCAAAGAAAAGCATGGATTTGATTATGCAAAGGTAATTTTCGGGCACTTTTACACTGCATCAATTTACTTTGTGCATAATGGGGAAAAGCCATTTTCAGTGAGTTAAACTATCCACAAGATTGGCTTCTATGTTCTCACAATGTTAGAATAAGAAATTTTAAGGTAATTTTCAACTCCAGCAAGAAAAAGATTCTAAAGGAGCACTGCCTTTGTATAGTGATCCCCACTCATTAGTCTGAAAGGCAATCAGCCTTTGATGAAAGTATCATCAAGGAAATGACATCTCCATTCTGTCTTATAATTTTTGTTTTTCTCTCTGGAGGACTTGTCCACATAATCAAATGTTCATCTTTGTACTGTTTTGCTTTTCTGTGGGGTAAAAGTATATTTTGTTTGTTTGTGGCTTCAGATTTAGATGTAAAAATAAGAGCAGATAAGTGCAATAATTAAAGGTTGGGAAACCACATTTCTTGCTCTTACTCCTGTCTGACCAAGTTTAGTGTATGTTACAGGCACACCTGCCCCATGGCGTGAGAGTCCGCAGAAGTCTTTAAGGCTATCAATCTTGTGATTTCTAAATCAGGTCACAGAAACTGAAATTAATATGCCCCGTGGTTCTCTAACAAGCAGATCCCAGAGTTGACTTACAAATTCACAAAAGTGTTAAATTGGTCACTTAAATTTAAAGTTTTTTCTCAGATCCTAAGTACAAAAGGAAAAATATCTTTGAATTTAGCTTGCTGATTGGTCAAGTATATTCCCGTCCCTACTTTCCCTTCTAGCCATACCCATCTCTTCCTCATTTACCTAAAGGAAGGCAAGAATTGGCTCTACACAGCAACCCTTCCTGAAAGGGTAGGGAACTTGGTAGAAACAGAAGAACGAATTCAATTTAATGTTGTTGGCCTGATTTGAGCACAAGGCATTTAAAGGGAGATAAGGTATGAGTCCTGATCTTTCATACCCTTTAGAAAACAATGAATGCAAAGGTGGGGGAAAGGTAATAAGGGACAGGAAAACAACATGAGAAACTGAAAAAATGGAAATAGAGTGTGTGTAAATGGGGAGGGGAGGAGGGGGTGAAGGGAGGGCAGGGACAAGGGGAAAAAATGAGAACCAAGACCTGTCATGTAAAGGTACAAGATCCCAATGATGAATGTAACTGTACTGTATACCTGGATTGTACCAATAAACTCAATAAAAAGAAAAGAAAGGAAAACAATGAATGCAAATGAATTCACTAACATTGCTAAATAGGCTTCTAGGCTCATCAGAGTTGAGAGCGGCAGGGACCTGTGAGGCAATTTTGAGCAACTTTCTAATTTTTGAAGATGAACAAAAAGCAGCCTAGAGCAGTCCCACCAATCACAGACCCTAGGTCATTTCCCCAGTTGTGGATACAATCATAGCATGAAAACAGTGTGTGCCCCATGCACTAATTGTCACTGTTATCGATTTCTAGCTGTAGGGATGCTTTTCATGCTCCTTGTTCAAGCTATTAACCTTTCATTCCCTGTTGTCCTAAGGAGAGCAAAGTAATCAAGCCTCTCTCCAAATACTAAATCAGCGTAACTTGCTCATTATCACAGCTGATTAAGTGTCAAAGACAACTGTGTCTGAAAAGAATATATATCTTTTTTTTTTTTTGTAGTGAGGAAAGAAATTAAACAGACACTCATGGAAGGAGGGGACAACCTGTGGACTTGTCCTTACAATGATATGTGACACAGATTTTGTCCTTCTAGCGTTGCTTTTGCAGCTGTTCTGGTCTTTAAATCCACAACATGTGACCGGTCATAGCTGGAACTCTTTGACATTATGAACATTGCCTGGGACTCTCTGAATAAAGTTTATACTGGAGCTCCAGGCCAGTGATACACACTTAGAGGAAGCAGGTGGTTTAATTTAAATTTTCATCTTTTCTTTCCTTTTCATTCCATTTCCTCCCTCCCCCGTATGACTTGCATCAGCCCCCCTGGCCAGGGGTTAAGTCATTTTATTGGCAAGTCAGGCTCTAATCCCAGCAGCTGTATTGCTTTAGTTGTGCAATTAACACAGCACAATCTGTAGAAAATCAGCCACACCCCGTATTTAAGTGTTTCAAGTAAATTAATTGATAAAATGCTGCAGCTTTCCTCTGTGCTCCCGGATTTTGGCCTCAACGGTGCTTAGCAGCAAAGTTGTGTTATTTCCTCAGGTGTATTTTTAGTTCGAAGAAAAGATCTTTTCTTATATTTGTGCATTTGCGTGCTCATGTACATGTGTGTGTGTGTGTGTGTGTGTGTGTGTGTGTGTGTGTGTGTTCTGCAACTGTGAATTTGAAGTGGGTGTGGGTGCTTCCTATCCTTGAAGTAATTAAATTTTTTGCCAATGAATTACATCAATGAAACCTGAGAATGAAATATGTATCCGGTGTTTTAAGTGTTCTAGCACTTGTTTTGCTGGGTCTGATCATTGTCTTGGGCAAACACAATTTGTCTTTTCTTCTTCTCTAATTGGTAAATTGTGCATTACTTCATATATACATATATATATATATTTCTTCATGTATTGAAACCTTAGAAATTAACTGGCAACTGATTTCTCTCTTCTTGAAGATGTTTGTCTGCCTTGACAGGTATCATTTTCTTTCTTGTTTTAGATTTTACCTCTTCTTTCAGTGAGCTACTTCTGAGGAAAGCAGTATTCAGATGTGAACTGATGAATGTCACCTTTTGTAATTTTTGTTTTGTGTCAAATGTATGTTTCAGGACTACTTCACAGACTTAATCACTAACGAGAGCATTAATTACTTCAAAATGTCTAAGAGAATGTATCCCCATAGGCCCATTATGATGGTGATCAGCCACGCTGCGCCTCACGGCCCGGAGGACTCAGCCCCACAGTTTTCAAAACTGTACCCCAATGCCTCCCAACACATGTGAGTAATAATGTAAACATTGCTCCTGCCAAATGTGGCCCTTTTCTTTGCTCCCCACCCTGATACTCTCCTTTATTCCATTTCTTTTCCTACTGTGTATCAACAAGACAGAAATGTCACCATCCACCATGACGAGATCATAACCTCAGTGCTGGCCCAGAACAGGCTTGTCTGAAATACAGAGCCCTGTTAGGTGGTGATTAGGAACCACATTTGGAACATTTACAAGTAACTGAAGAGGAAGAGGCGCACGTCGGTTGAATGGGGGAGATTTTTACCTAGTGGGTCCTGTTGTCTTAAATAATATTCACTAGTCAGCCCTAAGAATAATAAAGGTCAAAGGGCATGCTTTTCCTAGCAGCAGAGTGGCCACCCAGCTCTGGCTCTAGAAGCATGAGTTTATTTTCCAGGCGAATGCTAGAGCAGCTTTGCTGCAGATGTGCAATTAGAATTGCAGCAGAGGCAGCTTGAGTGGCTTGCCCGGAGGCCTTCTTAGGTCATGGCTTTAAAATAACCCAGTGTTTCTTTCGGAGAGGCGAGGAGAGGCGGGAGTCTCGAGTCTCCAGGAGGAGCGCACAAGAGGCACAGGGGAGAGGGTTGAGAAGGAGAGAAAGAAGAGAGCTGTGCTGTGCTGCGAATGCTCACTGGCCAAACGTGGAAAAGTCTAGATGTCTTTATCTGCTTGTGCTTAAATACCACCTGTCTGCATCCACACTGATTTTCTAGACAACATCCCTCGTAGAAAGAACTTTATAAAAGTTGATAAGTAACCACTCTAGTCACCAATTCTTGGAGAATGTTTTTCGTTATATTCTTATTTTGATTTTATTAAAATTAACTCACTGATGATTCCTAGTCAGGATTATATAGATCATCGTTCACATGTCAAGTGATTCAGACTAGAAAGAAGATCGGAGCTGAACTTTGACCGGAACTAAAAATACATGAGGAGCCCAGGCCCAAAAGTTGGAGGATGAAAGTTATTTTATTGCATGAAGTATGGTCAGTATATGAGGAAGATTTCCCCAGCACCTGGGAAATCTGATCTAGATGAACCATTTTTGGAATCAACTCCCTAGGCAGAAACATAACCTCTGAAAATCTCACCCTACATAAAATTGTGCAAATAAACTCATGAATGAAGCCACACGGCAAACTGCTCTCTGTTTGAGCTCAGTTATAAATTTAGTAATCAGCTGACTCAGTGAAAGGAAAAAAGTTCTTGCAGGACCTTCAACGTTTCTTTGGTACCCTGAAACCCATCTTTTCCCCTTTTTTATTTTTAAATCAGAAGCCACTCTGTGTACCTTCCTTTGTTATATTAGTGGAATCTCAGCCTAAGGTAACAGTCTACAACCGTAAGTCTGACAGGTGGTTCCCTGAGAAAGGGTTGATAATATATGGTGTTTTATGGTTCCTTAGAAGTCAGCCTGCCTTTGAACTTCAAGGCAAGGTCCTCAGCCTAGGGGAAAATCAGCTGCAGGTCAAGAGGTTCTCACAGCCCCATTGCATGTACAGAAAATAACTGCATGAGGGGAAAAGTATGCACAATTCTCAAGGCCTCAAACAATAGCTTTGATAAAACAACCTCGGATTTCAACAATTAAAAACTGGATGTCATTCCAGTAGGATTTATCAGTGTTGCCTGTGTTACTGTACAGTTCAGAAGAAAGATAGTCCTAAGGAGGACACAGTGTTAGCATTTAGGAACCAATAAGCTAGGACGGGGCTTGGCGTGCTGGGGCCCATTGTCCAAACCCAGCTTGCCACCAGGTTTTGGTAGTAAGATTTTATGGAAACAGCCATGCTCATTCGTGTGTCATTTCTAGCTGCTTTCAGGATGCAAGAGCCAGATGGGGTAGTCGTGGCGGATACCATGTGACCAACAAAGCCTAAAATATATATTATTTGATCCTTAATGGAGTGATTCTTCCATGACCCCTCTTCTAGAGAGAAGAGGAGGTACCAGCAGTGACAAGAACAGGGAGAGCTTTCGTGGCGCTGTGGGGCTGTGGAAGGAAAACCATTCACATCTTTTAGGAGAATCAGAAAAGCTTCATGGACCAAGAGGCACCCAAGGGGTCCTCAGAGGATAGGGAAAATGTTTTCAGAAGATTCTGCAGACCTTAGGTAGATAATTGCAGATATTAAGTATGGCACAGTCAAAATCACCATGAAAGTGGGAAATCTAACATGTGACTTAGGAACTGGAGCATGGCATAGAAATTAAGGAACAAGCGAGAGCTTAAAAGGTAAACAGCAAAATAATGGAGACTTCAGTGAGTTTGTATATAACTGTAAACACAGGGTCACTGGAGGTCCATAAGCAGGATAATACCAAAACATGAGGGGACTTGATCTTTTTCCTTACAAATAGACAGTAATTCCTTCTTTGTTCAAGTGAGCCAGCTATGCCTTTACCATCGACTTTATAGAGCAAAACTTACCCATGATAGAATGAAAGTATTCGGGCCTTCCAGATTAAGAACCCTGTTTTCCTGTCTCACCTGTCCCCGCCAAGCCTTAGAGCAGTTTTTTGAGCCTTTCAGAACTTCCATGGTCTTATCTATAAAATAGGGATAACACCAGCATCTTGATGTGATGTTATTAAAAAAATTTAGAGAGATAACACAGGTAAAGCCTTTACACAGGGCCTGGGACGTAGAGGTTGCCCCATCAATATTAATTTTGTCCATCTTTTCTGTTAAAATGAATGCTATAAAGCTGCCAATTTATGGTCTTTTTTTTTTTTACCTACAAAAAGTGCGATTTCACACGGTTCAAGTTAAGGTTTAGGGGAAGCAGCTAGGGGAGTGACCAGTGGCTGCTTGGCCACTGTGGTGTGGCAGAGCTCCTGACAAGCTGAAACTGCATGGTAATGAGCCTCTACACCTGGCCATTTAAAATAAACAGGATAAGCAGCCATCGCGGCTGTGTTCGTTTTTCCAGGTACACAGGTGTGTGGTGGCTGAACACCGCTTCTCACAGAAAATGAAAATTCACAGGGTTGTCCGGGTGACTCAGCTTCTCTTTGCCACTAACTCTCACACTTTTTGCGCCTAAAAAGTAGAGAGCCGCTGTGTCTCCTTAAAAAGGGATCTGGGAGGCTGAGTTCCTGACGTCTCTGTTGTGAAGTTCTCTCCAGCTGCGGGAGGAAGGGGCTGGGGGGAGGGAGTTTGCATCCCTGTGGCAGCCTGTGAGCGTGCGGGTTCAAAGTTCAGTCCTCAGACAAAGGGAGTGAGACAAATTGAAGACAAGCTGCCGATTGTGGTGCACTGAGCTACTGAATGGCCAGTTTCCTCGGCAAAAAACATGAGCAACACATTTAAGCAATGGGATGCATGAAGCTAAGTATGGTGTAGAACTATTTGCAGGCCTTGGGAAAACAGCAAGGAGCTGTAGGCTCTCCTGTTGGAGGCGAGCTAATAATGTGAACTTTTGCTTTAGGTCCTCTTCCTTGGTGGTCAACCCTCATTCAATCCCTTTCATCCAGCCTTGGGTTATAGCTCTCTGACCTTCACAGCCTGGAGCAAATGTATTGTGTTTCCATGGAGTCTGCCTTCCCAACAAAGGCAGGAAGCCAGTTCAATATGGCGTGTTGGCTTAACAGGCAGAGGGGAGAGGTTATGCTCACGAGTGAAGCATGAAGGCAGATTATAGGTCACATTGGGGTACTGTTGAATCATATGGTAGCTTAGCCAGTCACAGCCTCTGAAAAATCTAAGGAAGTCTCTGACATAAAAGTAAAAACAGGGCTGGGGATTTAGCTCAGTGCCTGCCATGTAAGGGGCGAGGTCCTGAGTTTGACCCCCAGTGCCAAAAAAAAGTACAAACAGGGGCAGAGAATGAGGCTCAGTGGTAGAGTGCTTGCCGACCATGCCCAAGGCCCTGGGTTTGATCCCCAGCATTTTAAAAAGAAGAAAAAACACCTACAGTGATCCTTGCCACAAAGCCCTTCACTATGGCCAAGACCCTGCCAGACTCCTCGGCGTTACTTTCCCAGTAGCGTTAAGGACGCGTATCCTCACCTACTTCTCTTTCCTGCCTCAGTGATGTAATAGGACACGCCCCAGGGAAGTTAGAAGCTGTGCTCGTCACCCACCTGTGAGCTACGCCCCTGACAACTTGGTGGGTGGGGAGGTGGTTGCTAACTGCTTGGAACACACATAGAGGTTCAAACCTAAAAATCTCGGGAGAATAATTCATGTCTGCCAACTGTGAAAACAGAGCTTTTGGGTAAACAGTATATCGAAGGGAACATATCTCCGCATAAGCCACTGGACAAAGTTTCAACTTTCTCCCATTAGCTAAAGCTGGGGGGAAAAAATCTTGCCTTAAAAAGAATTTGTACTCTTACTCTTTTCATCCACAAATATGCAAAAAAGTGGCATACAGTTGAAGACGACAAATTCTAAATTCTCCATGCAAATTTCTGATTTGGGCAGAACTGCTCCCTTTTCGATAGTTCTACTTTATTTTTCTCTCGGCATTTACTACAATACCTCTGCTTACCCAAGTTCAACTGCCCAACACTAGGGGGCAGCATTCCAGTAGAACGTCCCGTGAAGCTTGCCCTGGAGTTGTGCGAGGCAGCCTTGTCCTGAAGCGGAGAAAAGAGTTTTATCTCTGCCTCCCAGGGTCTAGTAAGCTTGGCTCCTGACATGATAGTTGCCTGATTTATTTTTATTTACCACGTGGGTAATGTTAATCTCACTGGCTAGCTGGCATTAAAACGTTTATTTTTTTTTTTAAGATTGTTTCAAAATATTTCCGTTAGCAGTTTCATAAATTAAAGGGGCACCCAGAGATACACTAACTTGATAATTTTTTAAATTTAAAAATGAAAACTCAAATTCTTTTTTGTGTTTTTTAATGAAAGCCCAGGGGCTTTGTCCAGGTTTGAATAGTCAGGACCAACGCTGGAACCAAAACTCAGTTGCCTCACACCTCCTCCATCCTCCCACCACACCACTGTCCTCCGTTCCCCTCACCACAGCAGA